AAAACCCAATTTGATTCGACTCGGGATTCAAACCCGAGGCTTCAAGATCTCCGCGCGACTTACGACCACTATACCAGAGTCAGTTTTTCAATATCTTGCATCTCTAATACGTAATAAAAATGCTCACCCGAGCACTCGCCGGGTGGGTGCATCGAACGAGCTTCTTTGTCCCGTCCGGCAGGTACCGAGCCTTTGTTCCATTTAATTAGTCATTGCAAATTTGTTCAGGCCAGTCTAAAGACCTTGCGGAGTGCGGACTGGTGTCAGTTGTTTAGCCTCGGTGCCTTATGTCACGACATGTCCAGACGGGTCGGCAGATGTTTGCCGCGTCCATTGACTTCATTGAACACACTCCTGTGCTCATGTCTGCCCACTGCTATAGAACATTAATTGCAGATTCAATTGAGTTACGAAGCAGCGCGTAAGAGTTATAGCCACAGCCTTGGTAAGGCATCATTTATTTTTTAGTGTCCAATCATAAATATAATTTTTTTTCTTTGGTCATAGACATGGTCATGGATACTTTCACCAGTGTCAAGTTTGAATAATCTTTTAAAATATTAATATATGTAAAAAATGCGCCGAAATCGCATCTCTTTTACGTATCAACAACTACTTCCAACCATTATTTAAGCGATACAACAGGAGCAACAAAAATGAAAAAGACAAGCAAGTTCCCGCCAAAACTCATAAACGTGATTTACTTTTTTTATTTCAATATCTCGGAACTTGTCGATTGTTATTTAATTTTTTTTAAATGGTCTGTAACTTCTTATATTTTAGACTTTAATAAGTAATTAAGAAAAAAGGAATAAAAATATTGAATATAATAGGCTGTGTGACGCTCGTTTAAATTTGACATAAAACACATTTCCCTATCGCACTCATTCGCTTTTACAATTCCAAATGTTTTAATTCAAAACTGCGATCGGGACTTATGTCAGTTATCTTAGCGATGGAATATGGAATACATCTTAAGTATGTACGGAGGCTGCGCAGGTAGTACGGCAGCTGCGCGGAATGCACACCTGCCTCTTGCCGGCTGCTGGCGAGCACATCTCCGCCCGCCGCCCGATACGAGCTGTCTCTACCATCCCCACCCTCCGCGCACTCTCGCCTCTCAATTTGACAACCGGCACACGACCCAAATTATTTATTCCCTTTCTTTAATTTGAAATTACCGGTAACTAAACTTCTCCGTAACTTTGTGCATTTTATTTGCCAATGAATTTTAATTCTCATGAAACATATCCTGATGCAGCTGAATTTTATGCTTTAATTAGTAAATATTTAGTTAACCAATCGCCTCATTTTTAAGTTAGTAAAAGGCAAACTTTCATTTATTTTTTCTTTACAGCTCCATATTCTCTCATAGGCGATATTTGCTATAGTTTTAACGCTTGACAGACAGGTTGGCGACCGTAGTTTTTGATCATTGTAGTTGTTATCAGGAAGATGTTACTGCTCATCTGTTTAATTGTGTTAAATTACTTGCTTAAGATGGCATTACAAGATATTTATATGTATAATATGTATATCTAAGTACGATTACTCCTTCAAAAATTGGAGCGCAAATTCAAAAGTGATTATTGATATCATATAAATAAAAATTGATTTTTTTTTATAACATTAATGTCCAAAAAAGTAAATAATCCATTTTGTGACACAGTTTACATTACTTTAGTCAGATATTTATTAAATAAAAGAACTATACAGAACTAAAATCCATCGACAATAATTTTGCATATAAAACCAAAAATAAAGATTTATATGTATCTTCTAAAAATGTATATTCAACTTATTTCGTAAAATCTGGTCAGGTGATCAGGACCGTACATATTATACTGTACCAAAAAATCGAATTCTTTCTTTTGCCTTTAATACTGGTAAAATATTTAAAAGAGCATTAAGGCACCGATCACACTTTAAATGTTTCACTTAATTTTCAAAGTTTATTGAACGAACTCCATTTATTTTCCGCACATACGATAAAGGGTGACCGTGATTTTAATTATTGTGATCAAATTTGAAGTAATACTAGGGCCAAATTGGTTTTAAATTTTGCCATTCAAAATATGTTAACAACATAACTTTTTTTTAACAAAAAGTAAAAGCCGGCTTAGGATTCAGAGCGCTACAAAAGAAGTCATTTATTTACCACCGTATAAACTTTATTCCTAAATTCATATGGAACCTCCCCTGAAGTTATAACGGATTTAATAAAAAAAGAATCTTCAAAATCGGTTCATAATTGTAGAAGATATCGTGTAACATATGTACAAAAAATATACATTCGAATTGTGTATCACCTCCTTTTTTGAAAAGTCGGCTAAAATACAGCAGGGTAGTTGATAAAATTTTACATTTCATGAGTTGTATTATAATTTCTGAGAAAACTGTGATAGATAGTGATGTCCTTTCTAAAAAATATTCAATGCTAAAATACAATGAGTAATTCATGTAATGCAGTGTATTGTTTGTGGATACCGCGGGACATTGCCACGTGCGATTCTGACAGCACGAACCTCACGTTATCGTGTCGCTGTCGTACTCTTCACGTCTCCGTAGACACGACAGGTGTGTTGCGCGTGCGCCGCTCCCATAAATACCGTGCACTGTCTCCCGTTCAGCAGTAGTTGCTCGATTGCGCTAATATTCGGACGAGTCTTGTGTTGTGCTAGCTTGTGTCAGTGTCTCTCGGAATATTTCACCATGATCATCTGCCTGTCGGGATTCGTAATCGCCGGGTTAGTACCTTATAATGTACAAAGGTAGACAGCTACACGTGAATAGTAGTTGCATAGTATTTTACTGTTAACGAGGTAGTGCGTCTCGGTTGTCGTCAGTCGAGGATTTAGGTATCCATGGGTGTCAGTATCCTAGTCACCCTAGTATCACAGATAATCTGCAAATAATCGTATTTAGAAATAGAAATATGTCGTGTTCCATATCCAGTATGAGACTCTTGGGAGCTCATAAAGGACTAGAAATATTAGCAGTTTTTCTATCTACGAAATAGACAATAGAATAATTCTCCGGATAGGAAAAAGTTTTTTTTTATGATAGGATATAAAATGTTTTAATTCAACTCATAGGAAGTTTCTTGTATAGTGTTAAATAATCTGAACATGAATTACAGGTATTAAATTTCAATAATTAAGTGGTGGTGTTTTGCAAAACCAAACAGCAACACATGCTCGTTTAATTTTTTTATATTAAATATATTGTCATTGTTCTATTTATATCAAAAAATTAAATAGTACTCAAATGGCTATATAACCCATATGAGTTAAGGCAGCTGTGTCTGTACTGCCATATATATAAATTACTTGATTTGTTTTAAATAACCCTTAAAATATTTTAATTCGCTCTTTAACAGTCGATTATTATTTTATTACAATAATAAGCATAGTTCCATTTAAATCCTGTAAATTGGGAAGGTCTTTTGTGGTAAGCAGATATGTTGGTTTGGATCGAACTGATAACGAAATTAATATCAATTTATGTTATTGGTTTTTTATCTTAAAGAGAATTAATGGTGTAACCTACCAATACCTTTATTTATTGCACCTTTCTCAGGGTTGACTAGTAGATAATGCACTCAGTCTGCCCTTTGAACCGCTAGTTGAAAAGGCACACCTTGCGATAAATAATATAAATACATAATAAAATAATAAACTTCTCTTCTGCCAGTGTTGGTTTTGTGTTATTGCCACCTTCAGTATTCCTCCTGACGTGCATCAATGCATTGACTTATTTGACTTGTCTTTCAGTTTAAAAGATAAGGCAGACATTAGTCCTGACAAAGCACATCTAATACTTTTTTAATTTGTTTCGTGTCCTAGGCTGCATGTTGATAAAAAAGTTAAATATACGCGATAAATTCCGTAAAAATTAGTATTATTTCAATGTGTAGTGTTCGCGTAAATATAAGAAATCATTATGCATGTTGATATTAGGTGGACTGCTAACTTTTAACTTGAACAGGTGTTTTGATATTGTCTTATAATGAGTGGTAAAAATATAGAAACTATATAATTTTTTTATAGAATAAGGGTGACAAACGTACACACAGTCCTCCTGATGCTAAGTGGATGCTATGGTCCATAGACATGTACATTTATCCTCGATTAAGAATGTAAACTCGGATGCTTTGTCACCCCTGAGGACTAACATGAAATGCCTCGTTTCCAGTAGAAAAGGTCTCCGGATCTCTACATTCACCACACGAAACACAACAGCATTAAGCTGCTATTTTACGCTGGTATTCGGTGAGAGCATGGTCCTTCCCCGATCGAGCCGACCCATTCGTGCTACAACCATAATATGGCTGCAGCGTGGCTTTACCACGTATAAATATATTAATGCAATAAATTATACTAAATAAAAGCTATATCAGTTGCCTTTAGGAGGCCCGCTAACTCGTTTTCCATTTGTTATAAAAACTCCTTGATTTTAGTAATGTATGATGCGGCTCAATTAAATTTGGTTTGCATTTCGTTGTGGTAGTCCTAGAGCTTCTGAAACTCTATCACGATGCACTAACGTCTCACCGAGTTTTATCGTTATTTATTATTGTATTCCGGGTAAAAGGGGAGGGAGAGATAGCAAAATTATAGGTTGTAATTTAATTTTAGATTTTGTATGTATGTGCCATGTATGTATTCTTTGCCACGCTCTGTATGTTCTGCTGCTGTCCGTCCCCCGTTCCAATTTCCCTCTGCCGCCTCTCACGACACCTACGAGGCTGTATGGGGGAGTGGTTATTTTTACACCATCACAACACGGACTCCTTACGTAATTCACTTGCATTAAACTTCTCCGACGCCGATTAACTTGTTTCCTCTCGTATCAAGGACTAATGACAATACAATAATTCAATAACTTTATCCTAGTACCCGCATCAGGATTACCAAGATAAAGTAAAATATTTAAAAGTCATCACACCTCATGACCGCTGCGTGTTAAGTTTTTTTTAACTCTTGTATTCTTTGTTTCAGAACGTCTCCAACATCGATTCCAGTTTCAGCGCGCAGTGATGTTGTAAGTATAGCTGTATAGATATTCTATTTTAACTTAGTGTAGTTATTGAAGTACCTGTTAAATTAATGGTGGAGTCTTTGAACTTGTATGTTGAATGATTTGGTGCGGGAATGATACGTGTAGTTTATGTCACTATCACATTAAAAATATTTAGAAACATTTCGTCGAAAGAAATATTATTTCTATGTTTGAGATTTCAGTAGTCACCTATCATCATTGCATTTATCACTAATATCTATTAGTGTATAATTATGATCATAGTTTTATCACAGGGGAGACCCTTTTTCCAAAATGAACTGATGATACTTCAGACACCCCACAGCCAAATTACATTAAAAATCCTATCTCTAGTTTTTTTTTCCTATTGATACAAAATATTTACAAATTTAAAAACTGCGGTTAGTTAAGTGAGTAAACTTAAAATATAAGTCATTCTTATAACAAGTTGATACACGTAACTCAACTTGTACAGTATCTTAAAAGTTTCAAATAAGAACTTGTGTTCATTAATAAGGGTCGATTTTAGACCTCGTTCACTCCCAAAATCAGTTTTCATTTATGGCGACCCCTGGGAAACCGATTTTGATCCCAAGGGGTCGATATCGACCACTTTAGGAATCCCTGTTTTAACATTTGTTTTTATCACATTAGCAAGTTATCAAGACAGGCATAAATTATTAATAATAATTGAATATACCATGTTATGATTACGATAAAATTGCTGCTTTAGACGTAAATGTGTTATGTATTACAATTAAGTATGAAAAGTGAAAACATTTAGAAACGGCATGTTGGCAATACCTCATTCTCCGGGGTTCTTATCTATCATTTAACAAATGTTGCCTAGTAATCGTTTTGAACTTTTGGATAGATAGGTCTTGTATATTTACATGTGGTTGCCACGCTGCAGCTATATTATTTTGATTGTAGTTGGAATAGGTCGGCTCGAACGGGGAATTCCCACGCTGTCACAGAATACCAGTGTGAAATAGTAGCTTTATGCAGCTGTTTTTCGTATGGTGAGTGTAGAGACCCGGAGACTCTTTTTACTGGAAACGAAGCATTCCATCTAAATCCTCACGGATAACAACGCATCTGCATTTTGATTCCTAATTAAGAATAAATGTAGATGTCTATGGGTCACAGTACGCACTTATCATCAGGTGGACTGTGTGCTCGTTTGTTTAGCTTATTTCTATTACAAAGTATATTTTATGATTAGTGAGTTGATGAGTGGTGTTGTTGCAGGTGTCGGGGGCATCGTATGCGCCGCACCAGCACTCGCTGCTGCAGCAGTTCGCGCTGCCCGCGCACGCCGCGCTCCCCGCGCACCCCTCCCTCCCCGCGCTCCCGCCGCACTCCGCGCTGCTGGCGCACCGAGGTTAGCACACGTGGAGTACACACGCACACGTGCACACTTACGTGCGTCCGTACACGTACACGCATCTACATATGTGCACAATGTACACACCCACTTATATGTACACTTGATTGAACATACATCGATAATATGAAATCGTGCCTCATTTAAAAAAATAATACCAACCTAAGCGATCCGCCCCAGTAACACACGGGTGATTTCTGGATCTCGATAACAGCGCCACCTGCCTATCAAATTCGAATCTAAATAATCCAGGTAACCACTCACACACACAACATCAAGTTCTGTTCAGCCAATTTTAAGTTATGAGCTTATGAGCCTTCATACATGCGGTAATTGATTTGTATTTATAAAGATTATCTATCAGTTGAATAAGACATCGCGTTGTTTCCTTCCAGGTGGCGTGGGCCGCTGCAGCAGCAGCTCAGAGTCCGTGTCAAGCCACAGCGCGTCCCCGCCTCCGCCCAGGTTCACGTAAGTACTACTGCCCTATCCTCCTACTCCCCTCCCCTGCTTCTCACCGACTTTAACATTTTAAATATGTTAGATATCAAGTTCAAGGTCAATTAATGGTTTCGGCTAAATCGCACTAGCAAAGTTTTTATACCCTAAGTAAGTCAATATGTAGTCTATTATGTAAAAACCTCCAAATACAAAAATGTAGATACGTCGTATTCTGAATCATAACTAAGATAATGACTGTGTTTATCCATCTTGTATAAACTAGATTGAAAACTGATTTTTAAAAAAAAACGATACCCTACACTAGAATTTTCTTCTATATCGTGGAAGCAGTTTACAAACATAAATTGCACAAGGATAAATATCCAAACCCGAAACAATTATCTGTAGGCCATACAAATACTTGTTCCGTACGAAATTCGAACCCGCGACCCCCAGCCCAACCACTCATTGGTAAGCCACTGCGCGACGGAGCCGACAAAGCCGCTGCGTCGTAGGTGCGCGACATCTAGTGCCCCAAGCGTGGCGATTACTGCATTTCTAAGAATCGATCCCAACTGTGCAAGAATTGAATCCGCTTGTAATTCCGTGTCTCTAATTCCGTATTTAAAAACTCTTGGTTTTTGTAAACGAGCCGTTTTGCAATAAATGAAGTACTTGAAAATTCCTTTTAAATATTTGTTCAACTATTTATGAACGATAAAAATTCTATCTTTGTAAGTCATCCTGTAAGAATAGGTACAGTCCGTACGGATAAAGAATGGGATTAGAAATGGCGTATCATCGAGCCCGTACCGTCAACATGTACCAAAAGTGAAAACCTGCAAATAACGGTACATCGTTATAACGTTACATTATTCGATGAATTGGAAATTTCCTATTAATAGGAATATATTTGCATTGATTTTAAAATAAAATTTATAACTAGCGACTAGCTCTGGCTTCACCTGGGTGGTATCTATCAATGTTCTTTAGACTTAAAATTATCATAAAAGACAATTTATTTTATCTAATCAGTATTTCTATTTTAATAAAATCTATACATGTAGTACTTTATCTTTTGTAGAATCAGTCATAAATCATAACACTGTATTTTAAATCTACCTCTGATATTATTCATGTTAAAAAGTGTCGTTCTATTCCAGGCGCGTGCGCACACTATATGCTTGCCTGGGTGAGAGTGAAGGCGAACTCTCGTTCGAGCCCAACCAGATCATAACCAATGTGGCGCCCTCTGGTGAGCCGGGCTGGCTTCGAGGGCAGCTAGACGGCCGCTGTGGCCTCGTGCCCGAAAACTACGTGGAGCCGCTGCCTTAGCAGCTCTAGTCAGCCAACAAGCGACTTAGTACAATGGTCCTTCGAGCCGGGTGGACTCTAAATGTTATCGAGAACCCTCGTCAGCTACCTTGGCTGCGTTATCTACGCCAGCCGGCTGAGCAAGAAATATTAGACGAAACGAATAAATTTGCTTAGTTGTGATCGAGATTATTAAAATCAAGTTGTCGGGTCATAAATGTACCTACATCGAAATGGTCCTCCGAGCCATAATATAGTCTTAGCAGACTAGGCTGCATTGAGGTCCGTCACGCCACGCTGTAAGATGCACCTATTTAAACGTATACTATCAATAACGCTTTCTAATTGCAACTCACGACGACGCAAATTTGAATTGTATGCGTACGCCATAAGGTACATTTTACAACGGCGTGCTGACCGATGCATAGCATATCGTTAGCGCTACGTTGTTAATTTTTTGTATTTGTATATTTTGTACATTGTATATAAGAGTTGTTGATATTTTAACTATTTATATTGCCCTATACGTACGTTGTGAATTTTGTACCAAATATTTTAGATTGTATGTGCGTCCGCGCCGCGACATATTTGTATTATACGATAATATATAACTTAGTACTAATGACTATAACCTGGTTTTATTTTACACCTTTTCATACATCACTCTTTTCACCGTATTTTAATGAGGACTTAAGAACGTGACCTTATGTATGTATGTATGAAAATAAAGGAATCTTCAATTCAGTTTACACCCACTTCAGTGTTCTATCAAATGTAGATGAAATTTTACAGCCTTTATTTCAATAATTTGAAATGAAAATTAAACAAATTGAGGCGAGAGTAGTTTAATGGTAGGGTGAGGAACCCGAACTCAAAACGTCCTGGATTCGAATCCGCCAAGCGACTACTCCTAACACGAGCATTTTAAAGCTTACCAGGAGTGTTAAAAGGAATATTAGTAATGTAAATAGCATTGCTAGTATTTTTTTAATGAAAAAAATGGAGTAATGTCATGGCTATGACGTATTATCCTTAGGATCGTCACAGCTCTTAATTAAATCGTGTTATGAATATTTTTAACTCCAATATAATCAAGAGCCCGTAAAATTCACGCCAAAACATACATCACTAGTAAGTAATATTTAGTAAAATCGCCAGGCCTATACGCAAAGGCAGATGAACAATCGTATATCGCAATACACCATAACTCTAAGACTGCTAAATTCAAAGGTCTCCCCCTGTCCCCCGCCCCTCTCTTCACCGACTGTCAAAACCCGGTTCTGTGCCTAAACTACTACTATAATTCAGACTATTGCTCAAACCGAAACCTTCAGTTTCTCAAACTGAAGATTTGCCCTTTCCTCCAACCGAGACTAGTCCAAAAGGAGGGTAATTTTCTTAGCTTGTATATGACCAGAGTGGTCTAAAAAGTTTCCGACCTCAACGTGAAAGTGGCAGCACTCGTCAATAAAAGTTAGTGAATGTAGTTGCTCATCTTTTGACACTTACGCACCAAAATTTCAGTCATTTTGGACGCGTAGTTATTTGACAGTCGTTTGAGTGAGGGTTTTTGTTAAAATGGAATAAAATTGAGTATCGAGACGTCACTAAATTTTTGTTTATGAAAGGCAATACGCCTACGCAAATCAAAGATAAGTTGGACTCTGTGTATGGGGTCTCTGCATCATCATTCACCACAGTGAAATTTTGGACAGCTGAATTTAAACGTAACCGTGAGAGCTTGGGAGGCACTGCAACTACTGACGATAAACAAATAGTGCTAAAGTGAGAGAAATAGCGGAGGCTATGAAAATTTCCAAAGAACGTGTTTGACACACATTAAATCAAGATTTAGGCACGAGAAAGCTCGTTGGGTGCCGCGTTTGCTCACGTATATCTATATCTATACCAAAAACGTATCCGAATAAACATTTCAAATGCTCTGTTGGCGCAATTTCGGCGCAATACATCCGAGTTTTAACGCCAATTAATTACTGTAGATGAAACTTGTATACATCATTACACGCCCGAAACAATAAAAGTAAAGCTTTTAGGCTGGGAAAGCGATGGCGACTGTTTTTTGAGATAGTCTTGGAATTATCTTAATCGATTATCTTCAAAAAGGAAAACCCGTTACAGGAGCATGCATGCATGCGAAATCGCGGAAAAATGGTCACATTTGCAGAAAAATAAACATCCTGTTTCAGCATGACAACGCACCGTCTCACACGAAACCTCAACGGCTGCCATAGCGAAAATCTCCGAATTACGGTTTAAACTGCTTGACCATCCGCCTTACTCACCAGATCTAGCCCCAAGAACTTCTTTTTGTTCCCTCATCCAAAAATTGCGCTTGGAGGACAAACGTTTTCGTCAAATGAGGAGGCAATCACCTTCGAGAACAATTATTTTGCAGAGAAAAATGCCGAGTACTATTTGAACGGGTTAGAGAGATGGGAGTATCGCTGGAAAAAGTGTGTAGATTTACAAGGAGACTATGTAGAAAAATAAATTTTAAGAAAAATTGTTTCTTTGTTAGGTAGAAGGCGACCAATAAGCCGTAGCTGCCTGGTGAGCGTGGGTGCCTGTGATTTGCTACGCAAGGGGCTACACTTACAGTACCGCAGCTTAATATATAATTTATTATTCATTTTCAATTTTAATAAACCGTACAAAATGATATTTTTAACTCTTAAGGTAATATAAATATTAAATTATTAAATTAGCCGGTAGCGTGTTTGTGCCATCTAGCGTAACCTTTAGGTACCGCAGTGAGAATCAATCAATTTTCGTTCGATAAAATGACTTACTTCACAAATTAAGTAGATGGCGCTATTAATGTGAAGCCCAAATTTTAATGTAATAAATTAAATAAATACATGTATTGAGGTTTTTAAAGAATGTTTCCTGTAGTCCTTCAGTATATAAATTTAAAAAAAAGATTGTAACAATTATTTGATATTTTTAACACAAACTCACTAATTATTGAGTTATTAAACTATAATACTAAAGAGTCCTGTACCTATTAAAGTATGAAGAAAAGTATTGAATTAAAATTTCATTTTTAAAGATTTTAACTTTTTCCTCGCCGATAAGCACTTTAACACACTTATATTCATCACAAGGAACACTATTATCCCCCCATTTTCACTAAAAATCTTTGAAAAAGCATAAATGTTTAACAGACACAACAAAAAACAAACATAAATATTGAAATGTGAAGTGAACTTGCAAACGTATCGCCCGCAAACCCCACTCTGTAACCCACCACTGGGTAAAGCCCAGTTCATAGTTATATTTCATTATAGAACATTTTGCCACAGGTTAGAAAGGGAGCGATTGTCTTCTCGAAAGCCCGGTAAAGAGCCAACGCGTGTGAGAGAGACGACAAATCAACTCCTTGCTTTCATTAATTTTGACAGTCCAGTGTATGTCGAATTGAAAGCAAACTGCCAAGTGTTGACGTTACATGTTATATGCTACGAGATCATGCCCTTTCAAATAGTTTGAAATAGTTTACGAGTTATTTTATTAGTTGATATTATTGATTGAGCATTTTTATATAGCAAGCCCAGCTATTGGGCTTCTATGGAGGCTTCGCCACTGGAATTACCCTTCAGAGAAAACTGGCTGAATGGCCAGGTTATCTGTGAGGGCGGTAGGCTCATATGGTATAACAGATCAGATGGCGCTGTTGCCACGGTTAACATCGACTCCGTAGTAATAAATTAATTAATAATGTGTTAATCCCATATAAGTGCATGAAATCATTTGAGATAAGAATATCGGTGTCAGACTAAGTGCAGTCAGTGTTATTTATAAAAAATATTAGGGGCCAAAAAAGTTATATTCGATTAATTGAGATGAACTTAATTATGTGGTGAATTATCTATTCACGGTGTCATGCTGTAAACAGAAACTGAGTTTTTTTATGTCATTACGTATACAGGACTGAAATGCATGTTCATCAGGCTTGGTGAGTGAAAATTAGACAATAATTTCAGTAAATATTATTAATCGTGGACGTTACTTTTTAAACTTGACAATCTACGATAAAAACAAGATCAGCTGACGTTCAAGTATCAACGACTCGTTAATAGATGTCATTACTCTCCATACTTGAGGTCATGACATATAACTCCATCTACATATCTTATTGAGAACCACAAGTTGTAATCGATTCTAAATATCTAAATAGCAACATTGTAATAGTTCTACTATTCACCACTATGGAGAAAAATTCTAAATACATTTGATTTATTGTACATAGTTCAGTTACGCCATCTACAAAAATATTAAGAAATTAACTAGAAAAATAAAGTATAACAGAATGGCTTCTAAAGCGAGTACAAAATCCGCTAACACCAGCCATAAGATGTCAGCACTAGTATGTTGTTTTAAATGCAAAAAGTATGTTGATATGAAAAACACACTACTATGTTCAGAATGCGAAAAAAAGATATGAATTTGACTGTGCCGGCTATTCCGAGAAACTTTACCGTTTAAAAAATCAAGAGGCGAAAACGAAATGGAAGTGTAAACTTTGTATTAAAAATTACAGTAAAAAATATTTGACATCATATATTAGCGAATCTTCTAACGTTACTATGCGAAAAAAAGAAAACACTCTAAAATAATTGTCATCTGTACAAAATATTACCGAGGTTTCACAATCTACACCTCAAAATACGTTTTTCTCTCAGACAATGGACTCACACGTACTCACCGAGAACGAGTTATCCGATGAATCCTATTCCACGCCAAGAAAATTATCAAGGAGTGTAGACGGTACTATACTAGAGACAGTAACAATCCAAGAGTTAAAAGAATCAATAGCTCAACTTACTCTTGAACTCAGTAGTACACAAAATGAACTAGAAAACACAATACTAGAAAATAATACTCTCAACAGACAAATTAATAAGTTGACTTCAGAAATAAAAATATTACAGTCATTGTGCCATACACCAATTGAAGTAAATAAGGTTGGCAATAGTGCGAAAAAGAAACAGAGAACTTCC